GTAGATGTCCCAATGTCTGCAATCATTATTCGTTATTTTTTTTTTAAACAGTATATATTTGTAATGACACAATTACGCAGGTGTAGGCTTTAATAAAGCTTTATTCAACTGAGAATGCAAGGTTCGTGTATAGGGTCCTTTTACAGTGACGGTAAACAGAGATTGCTCTTTCAAAGAGGGGAGTAAGAAATCAAGGGGAGACCACTCTTGATTATTTATAACAATATTATTGTAGTGGACCGTGGCTGTAATGTTGTTGAGTAGAAGTAGAAGAAACGTGTGGGTTCAGATTTTCCTGCTAGCTGGTCCAACTATACAAGAAAGTTGGACTTTTATTTAAGTCCATAGAATGCAAAGAAAACAAAACACAAGACCGATAATATATATATACAAATATATATATTAATAACAGGTTACATAGAAACAGTTACAAAAGGACAAAGTGTGTGTGAATATTATATATGTGCGTTTGCGTGTGTGTGTGTATTGTACTTAGCGTGTTCCCAGCATTTTGAGAAACGCTATCTCTGGTGAGCGTTCACATTTTTGAGGTGGTAAGGCTGAAAGCTTGAGGAAAAAGAGAGATGTACCTCAAGGTGTTGGCGCACAGGCCTGAGGGAAAAAGAGAAAGAGGCGAAGGGTCAGCGGCTATTTATAGCCAGGGAAGAGAGACCCCTGGTGAAAGGGTTAACGAACTAAAGGAGGAGTTAACTCCGACATTATCGTTTCGAAAATCAAGTAATTTTTTATTATTATTTTTCCGATTGTTGCATCTAGTGTTTAGTAACTTAGCATTTCAGATGATTTTGTTAAGTGTTCATTTACAGGTCATGTAAGACTGATTGTGTTATTTTACTCATTGAACTAATGTTTTACTTCTTATTCAATATATTTAATGTTTTAATACGTAGGCGGAAACAATTACCAATCTCAATTCATTTATGATGCTTTCAATAATTATTAGTAATCATTATTGTTTCAAGATCTGTTTGTGTTAGTCGACTATTTCACTATGTGTTATTGTGTTCTGTATCTCCCCAAATGCGACGAGCTTCTCATCGTGAATGGCATTGACTTTATATCCAGCCAATTCCACACTCAAAAGCGACGTCAGTATTGTAAGATTCAAAGACATTTATTAAAATAAACAATTCAGAATTCTAAAACTATTTCTAAAATAAGTAAAATGCTGTTTCCTACTTTCGAAAACAGTCGATTCATTTTAGAACCTTCTTCGAGGAAAAACACATTTTTGCAGAAAATTCTGCAATTTTAAACTAAATCTTGCATAATTTGTAAGAGTATAGGAATCCATTTTTTCTGAAAATTCTTCTCAAAATCAACCAAATATAAAATATATTTTCTCAATAATCATAAATCATTTTCTAAAAGCTTCTTCAAATGATAAAGTGAAAATGATAAGTGAAAATTCATGGCTGCTTTCTTTCTAATAGCAAATATTTAACAATTATTTTCTTATTGCCTAAATATTTTGAGGCTAATAAATAATATAATGGGGGTTCGAAATCTAAAGTAAGTCAAAAAATGATGTTTATACTTTCTCATAAATTGTATTAGATTTATTTGTTGATTTCTTTCTATGGGAAGAATTTTAACAACTATTTTCTGTCTGCATAAAATAATGAATACAAATCAACAAAAATTGGTACAGAATTAAAAACCAACAAAAAATTGTACAGACTGGACATGTAAACATGAAACTTGAAAAAATGGCCTCTAACTAACAGACGCTCGGAAAACACCAAAGAAATAAAATTTATACCTGTAAAACATTTGATTATTTAAATTATTTGAGTAGTTCATCCAAACGAATTACTTGATTATGGCCTATGAAATCTGAACAAGTCCAGAAGACATTGTATAATTTATGTTCAATTGTTTTCTGTAAACCAGAAAAATGATCTGAAATGAGTCTGTGAATGTCATTGGGTGCATTTCTTTTCCGCATAGAGAATTTGAATAACTCAACCTCGCTAAGTATGCACATTCGTGCCAGAGGCCATTTCGCCAAACTAACAAAAAAAAAAATTAAATTATTGATAATTAGCCTGAATTTTGCCTAGCTATTGCGATAGAACAAACATCTCCCTTGTTCTTTGTGGATCAATATAATCATACACGAGGCGTTACTTTTTGAAGACAATCTCGTATACAAACATACTGAGAAAGACATGGCTAATTTTGTAACCTCAAAAGGGTTACTGAATGAGTAACCAAAACAGATGTTGGAAATAAAATGGTAATCTTTATAACATCAACAAAATAAAATACGCGCCAGCGGCGTGAAGTAGGTAAACCACTGCTAGTGGTGGACTACTTAGACAGTTTATTACCCTGGCTTACGTGTCCAACGTATATATAAGGATTGGAACATATTAGTTTTCATAGGTAAGGTATATAGCAGTCAAATTCTGTTTCGTATCATAATTGAACCCTCATTAGAGGGGGGATCATTGGCACTAGTGAACTTTTATAGCCTGTTTTCGTTGCGTAATCTTCAAAACAACAGGTGTTATTTCGACAGAGGACGCGTAAGACAAATAATAACAATCGATAGTCATGAAAAGCTACTTACACAGCTCTGTTTAGTTCGCTGATATATAAAAAAAACATCGATATATATATATTTACCTCTTCTCTGAATAAACTCTAATATTTTAGAGTTTATGACAGTCCTCTTAATATAATAGTTTTGCTTTTATACAGCTTTTTTCGCTAAACGTCTTCGGAATTGCCATATTTCAAACGTTTTCTCATTTTTTCATGGTCTGGTATTCAATAATTTATGTATATTTTCCGAGTAGGCTAACATTATTTAAGCATTTACCTAGGAGAGAATGAATAGTTGTTGTACAGAAAAATAAACCAAAAGAAAAAAAAAACTAAATGAAAATTGAATGATCTTGAATCCTAGTCGAACCACAGAATTGAGGAAAATATAAAGATCAGTACAACCAGTTCAGTGTACCTCGTGCAATGCATGCGATTCCATATTTTATAAACGGCTTTATTCTGTTTTATTTTTTTCTATGCAACAGCTTCTAGTTTTCATAGCAATGCCGAATTGGCTTGAAAAGTAATGGAACATCATCGAATGTCTTCTTAATGCCGTAGTATGGGAAGTTTTTTCTTACACACATCGGGAAGAATTTTCAAACGCGTTACATCTTTCAAATGGGGCTGCAATTTGAATTATGTCTCCTCTGTGAACCTGAATAATTCTATTTGATTTTCTCTCCTTTTAAAACCAATGAGACACTCTGGTGTGTGTAAGTCACATTTCCAATATGATTGTTAGTGTTTTCACGTAACTGTAATAATTCCGCATCGATGTCCCAATATATGATATAAGAGATATTTTTCTTAATCTTCCTGATGACTTTGAAATTATAGTCACTTTGAAGTTGAGCGGCTAGGTATTCGGATTCTTGCATGTGCCACTTATGTCCAACCAAAGGCATTGGGATTTGGCTTAGTTTTAAAAAGGAATAAAAAATATCCTCACAACTATATTCCTTTAAACTTAAACTGTAAAAACAAATAACTACATAGTCAATCCTCAAAATGATACGATTGATTGCAACTATTAAACTGAGAGCAGATTGGACACCTGAGAAAAACTGAAGATGGACCCTATGTAATCTTGATGAAAAAGGAAACGAAACCTGAAATAAGATAGAGAAAAGTTATATTATCATTGTTCTAAAAGGGTTACTAAATGAGTGTTAAGGGGTTCACCCCTTTTATATACAAGTGGACTCGCCCAGTGTGGACTTGTACTGCTGCCGGTGAATACCCGGGAGTGACAGTGACAGTGATACAGTGAGAGAGTGAGAGTGTGAGGTAACAGCTGTGTAGGAGTCACAGTTGCGAGCACGTAGACTCAGAAAGAAGTCATACTTCGATACTGAATTTCCCAGACTGTATATCTATTATTATTATTGCTACTAACCGCATTTCTGGATCTACTAACCGTATTACCAATTGTATTATTACGTCAATACATTTATCTGCTATATTTCATTCCTGCGTTTGTCATTCATTTTGAGACCGGATTTCATCCCGGAATCCACAACAATGAGGAATAACCAAAAAAGGCGGTTGGAAATGAAATGGTAATCTTTATAAGATCAACAAAATACAATACAAATACCTATTAGTGTTTACTGTCTACATTATTCAGACTATTGTCCTCAACTCTGTCGCCATATTTATTGCAACGTTTCCGCCGTTGTACACAGCAGCCTTCTTCAGGTGGTTGTAATGTGGAACTGAACCCTTTATTTCGCTCACTGGGGTAGACTATTCTAGTTCCACGTGTCATTTCTTGTGGATGTCAGTTATCTCCTGTTAATTCCCCTCTCCAAGTTCTTCACTGCCTTAACCAAATATTGAACTCACAATCTTTGGGTCCTATCATTCACTAAAGCCTTTATCCACTAAATTTCTGGGTATTGTAAACTTAATGTCTTCAATATCCATTTTTTACCAGGGCTCATATTGCAATTTTTGCTGTTATAAATTCTTGTTTTTACCAGAGATCATATTGCAATTTTTTAGACAGATACTATTAGTGTTCATAGTTATGTTATATGACAATCATCTCAAATAATCTGACAACAAATATATTTATCTTTTCTTGTGGAAGAACTGTTTCCCCTTAATTTCATTGAATTCGTTTACTTTCAACCATTGTTACGATTGTGTGCTTTCCGAAGACTATCCTCGAATTTTTCAACAATATCATTATTTCAGTCACATTCGGTTTTGTTGCATCTCACACTGCACTAATCTGGACACGGATTATCCTTTTTGACACGTTCAATTAAAGGGACACTGCCAACTAGAGGACATATCACTGTTGCATTTTTGTATATTTTGACAGACGCGAAACTAAGCATTATTTCCACTGAGATAGGAGTTTGAATTCGGCGAAACCAAATGTATAAGAAATTTAAATAATAATGAAAACAGAAACGATGGACAGTGAAATATTTTCATCAGATTTTCAAATAGCCTCTATTCTTAAACATTTATTTATTTGGACGGACAAGCGCGATTCGGTTGTTCATTATAATTGTTCAAATAAATATACAGTCCATTTTTCTTTCGGTCTGTCGTGTTCGGTGACTTTTGCGAAATGAAAAATAAAACTCTTTAATAAGGAAATATGTGAATATTTTTGTCCTGTTGTCTATCCATTTTACGCTTAATTGATAGGGAAAGAATAGGCGATGGGTTTATTTCTATTAATCCTTATTTACATTATTCGGACTATTGTCCTCATCATTTGTTGCCATATTTATTTATCACAGAGTTTCGGCTGATGTACGCTCCAGACTTCTTCAGATGGTTGGAATGTCGAACTGAACCCTTTCATTCGCACGCTGGGGTTGACTGCTGTAGTTACAAGTGTCATGTCTAATGGATGTCGAATTATATCCTATTAATTCTCTTATCCGAGTCCTCCACTGTCTTAACCAGGTATTGAACTCACAACACTTTGGGTCCTGTCACTGGATCTAACCAACGCCTTTATCCACTTTAAGAACACATGGCACAGTAACCACCTGAAGAAGGCCGGAGCGTACATCGGCCGAAACGTAGTGATAAATATAGCAACAAAGATGAGGACAATAGTTCAAATAATGTAAATAGTGTACATAATACCCCATCTCAGAAATATAGATATATCCATTAATCATGTTTTATCCATTTACTAGATTCGTTTAATGCATCTAAATAATCCAGATATTTATATGAGAAGCTTGAGTTCATTCACTAAATCACATAATCCCGACCGAAATTTAAAATGGCTTCACAAAAATGGATTAGCGAAAACGACAAGTTATACGACGTATGTTCGAGCATAGAGAGCTAAAGCGGAGGATTTACCTCAACAAACTATATAGCCATATTTCGTAATCTATTCTTCTTGTGCGAAATATATTTTTGCAAGTTGTCGAACGCTTATGCTATATTAGTACTGTTTAATAGGCCACTGTTAATATTAAAAATTTAATGCAACCTATTCACCACTGGAAATATGCGCCAACATATACAGTCAAGCCAAAATCACCATGCCAGACGATCGAAGCTTCATGTCTTTGTGTTAAATGTTTTGCTCTATACATATGTATTTTCATCAAAATATTTCAAATAGATTTAAAAATGTAAATATATAATGATATGCTGGTATAAAATATTATTAGTTAATCCAATCAGTGTACGAAGAGTTTCTCTAGATGTGTTCTTGTTATCTCCCTTCAAGATCCCATTCCCCCGGAAACTCCTTCTCTGTGAAGTGCCATGTCCCCTTGGAAAGATAGTTGGATGTTTTTCTGTTGTCTTCTCCACATATATGAATTCAGAGTGGACTTCAGCAATACAGACTCATTCAAAACTAGAGAATCCACCCTATTTTATCCAAGGCTTTAGAAGAGTAAAATCCATGCATACCATAAAGATATTAATGCAAAAGTGAACGGTATAGGCTAGGTCGAAATTATCATTCGATTTGCCGAACTTATTTTCTATGCCAATAAACTGATTCTATCGAAATATTTCATAAATGATGTAAATAAACAGTAATAATTACATCGACACATACTGTGCCTTTTAACATCTTGAGAATTCACAATGCTCCCAACTGCGACTAATACCCACAATATGAATCACCGCCATAACTTAAGGATGTAGCAGAAGAAAAGGCAGAGGTTACAAATGTCAAAAGTGTATGGCTGCAGTGCCTGAGTTGAAGACAACTGATAGAATAGACCAACGCACTAGAATGGTAAAGCTTAACTGTAGAAATTCAAAGAGAAAATATTTTCTTTTTTCCTAAGATGAAACTTATTTATTTTTTTAACATTTTCCTTTTTGAACTTTTTTTATATTATTTCCTATAGTTTTGTGAGTTTCTTCAATTGTCGTCTGACAAATAATTTTAATCATCAACTTAGAATAGGTTAACTAGACAACTCTATTATCATTCTTGTCATTCTTTCTTCAGTACTTCTTTTTTCTATTTCATTATTGTATTCGTTCATTCTTTTATCTTTCGTATTCTTTCTTTCTTTTTATGTTTCTAAACTTTTTTCTTTTGCATTCTTTCATTATTTCTTTTTTTTAATTTTATCATCGCCTTCTTTCCTTCCTTTCTTTCTTTATCCCGTATTATGTCATTAATTTTATGTTTTTAGATTTTCTTTCTTTTCCCTTTCTTTCTTTCTCCCATTCTTTCTTTCATTCTTTCATTGACTTATATTCTTTATTTCTTTTTATTTTTTATCTATTCATTCACTTTTTATTTCTTTTTTGTTTCTTTCGCATTTATTCTTTCTTGTTATATTTTTTATTCTTTCTTTCTTATCATTTCTTTGTCACGTATTATTTCTTTTTTTTATCTTTTTATAATTTATACTTTATTTCTTCCGTTCTTTCGTATTTTTCCTTTCTTTTTATGTATTATAGTCTCGTTCTTTCTTTCTTTCTTTCTTTGTTTCTTTCTTTCTTTCTTTCTTTCTTTCTTCGTTCATTCTCTCAATTATCATTACGAAATATTCCCATTTTCTCAAACTGCTGAAATTCTTCCCCTAATAGAGCAAATCACCAGACGCCCGTGCGGTTAACAACGAAATACAGATTTAGCAGAGTTTGAGAGTCGAATTCCATCAGTGGATAGGCACCCATTAACTGTAATGCACTTCTAATGGACCCACATCCGGTGGGACCTGCAGGGACACGTCACGTGACTCTAGATTTGAAATTGCCGCGCGGAGGCTGACTTAAAAACTCCATATATATATATATATATATATATATAAAAAAACTTGTCTATATATATATATATATATATATATATATATATAAATATATATATATATATATATATATATATATGTGTGTATGTATATGTATAAATTCATTTACATAATTATATATATATATGTCTGTGTGTGTAGAGAGAGTGATATATATATATATATATATATATATATATATATATATATATATATATATATATATATATATATATATATATATATATATATATATATATATAGATAGATAGATAGATAGATAGATAGATAGAGATAGATATAGATAGATAGATAGATAGTATGAACGGTTATATGTGTTAATGTGTTTATGTAATTGTGCGCACGGCCGAGTCTCTCGGAAATGCTTTAAAGAAAGGAAATAATGAAAATACCTGTAACCATTTACGTCTATTACTTTGCGAATGCAGACATTTGTTTAACGAAAACTGTAATTTCCACTTATTTCTGTGCTTTCTATTATTATTATTATTATCATCGTAGTGATAAACATTATCGAGTTGTGGTATAATGCACGCGTTAATAATCTTCATTTCTTACTACTTCCTCGATGTACATCACACAACTTATTCAACACTGAAATTTAATTCACTGTCATATTTTATATTGGACCTCGAATATTATATTGGGTGAATTTTAGTAGAAAAAAAAATCTGTTATATACAGGGTGTTATTATGGTTATAAAAAGTGTTAATTATAGAGTGTCCCAGAAGCCACATCGGGATTTAAAAATATAAAATATAAAAGTTTTCTTAATTTTTCTAAAATAGATTTATGCAGAATGAACATTTAAACACTGCGAAAATATTCCCAATTAATTATTATATGAGATAAATATCTTCCATTTCTCTCTTCAAACAGATGTGCCCATTCAATCAAAAACATTGGTTCATTTCTCTAGTTACGACCTCGTAATTATGCACAGATGTTATTTTGAGTTGCTTAAACCTAACTCAAACACTAACCCTAACCATGCCGAGAATACAGGATCCTTATGGCACTCTCAAAGAAAACCGTCAGATCCGAAGATCTAACGGCTAAAAAATGTATCCGGTGATCAGAAGTTTGGGTATTCCCAAATAACATTCGAATATTTTGGTTCGGTGTTCAGTTCTTAGATTTCCCATGGGTAATTCACCGATGTTAATTAAAATTCGGATATAAAAATATGTTATGATATTTTAAAATATATAGATGAATTCTGGGACATCCCGTATTAATAAATCCAGATAGATTCACTAGCATATAGATTTCATAGTGGGGAATACAATAAATATACTTAAATAATAAATAAGGAGTGGAATATAAAGCAAGATATATATATATATATATATATTTATACATTGTGGGTCAGTAGTTTACAAGAAAGAAATTCGGATTACCAACACACAAACAGAGAATGACTCATATCGAGAATATTTAACGTTGAAAAACAAAAGAAAAAATTAATTATTTTTAATAATATGTGGAAATCTCCGCTTTTACCTAAAGACGGTCGCGAGACCAGAAACACGTCTAGTAAAATTATGTAAAACAAAGCATAATATTTTTTTCTAAATAAATCCACATTACAACCAAAAACGTTTGCGGCACCTCTCTTCTCTTCTTTTAATATATATATATATATATACCTTCTGGCTCAATAGTTTATATATATATATATATATATATATATATATATATATATATATATATATATACACTTTCTGGCTCAATAGTTTCTATATATATATATATATATATATATATATATATATATATATATATATATATATATATATATATATACCAAGCAAGTATATCGTTTTTTAAGTTATTATACATGTTTTGTGGGTTAACCTTCTTGTCTACCTCAGATTTCCTTTTAAAACATTATCCCCAATCGCAACTCACATCTTTTTCTTTTTATTATTTTAACCCTTTAAGATTTAGAAGAGACTTATTCTTTCTTCTAGTATTCTTTCGTTATTTTATACATGTTTTTTTCCCCTAAATCGATTTCTCTATTGCTAGAATCTTAGTTTTGTCTATTCTCTTATTCATGACTTAACAGTTTTTTTTTTCTTTCGTTGTTTTGGTCGCCTTTTAATTTCTTTCATTCTTTTTTTATCACTTTTTTTTTGTTCCTTTCTTCCTTGTTACATTTTTCTTTCTTTCTCGTCTCCAATCTTTTATATTTCAAAGTTTTTATTTGTTTCTTTCCTTTTTTTTATTACATTTGCAGCTTATTTTGTTTCATTCTGTTTTTGTTTTTCTTTTTCATTCGCTCATATATTTTTATTTCACTTTTTCTTTCTTTCTTTCTTTCGTAACAACAAGAAAGAAAAAAAGAAAGAAAGAATTTTTTCTTTCTTTCTGTTGCGCCATCATCTTTGTGAATATTTCATGTAATTAATTTAATCATTTTTTCTTGTCTTCTTCATTTTCTTTTTTCTAATGGCGCCATCAGTTTAATTGCCAATTTGTCTTTATTATAAATCACCGAATTCGTTATTCTTTTTCTTTCTTTTGTTCTTTGACTCATTGTAGTCTGTTTTAATTTGTTTTCTATCTCTTTCCTTTCTGTCTTCTTTGTTTCGTATTTTTTATTTTTCTTCTTCTCCGTTTTATTGAATCTTTATTTTATTTACTTTATTTGTTATGTTTTCTATCTTTTTTTCTTTCTTCTTTCTTTCATTCATTCATTTTTCATTCCTTCTTTCTTCTTTCTCTTACTCTCTTGTTTTCTTTCTGTTCTTACGACCTTTATTTTATTTGTTTCCTTTTTCTTTTTCATGTTGCAACGTTATTCTTTCATTTATTCATTCATTCATCATTCTTACTTTCATTCTCAAATTCTTTTTTTATAGCATTTCATTAAATTCTTATTTCCTTTTTTAAATGCTTGGCTCATGTCTTCTTTCCTTCATTTATTATTTCTTTCTTTCTTTCATTTTTTCTTTCTTTCATTCTCTTGTACTTTCTTTATTCATATCGTTCAATTACATATTTTCCATTGTTCATATTTTATGTTTCTCCTTCCTTCCTTCTTAATCTCATTCATTTAATTTTATTCCAATTCAATTCTTTTATTTTTCTATTTGAAAGTTACGTCTGCCTCATATTTTGTATTTTTCTTTTTCATTCATACATTATTCGCCACATTTGTTTTGGTTCATTCCTATCTTTTGACGTTGCTTCTATTTGTATTTTTTAAATAGATTCTTGCTCACATTTTGACATTCGTCCTTTCTCTTTCATTTCCCTCTTTGTGGTCATTCATTTTTGCCAGTTATTTCATTCATTCATAAGATTCACTCTGTTTCTCTTCTACAATTGGATCGTTCTTTCATTTTATTTCATTTTCTATCGCCTTTTTCTCTTTTTCTTTTTTACCCTCTTACTTTTCATTCATTTCTTTCAATCTTTCGACTCCTATTTTCATCTTTTTGCAAAATATCTATTTAAGGAGTCATTTTTTTTCAATTAACTCTCAAAGTTTACTTGCCCCTTGGCAGATGTATTAACCAGAAAATCTAGTAACATTAAATGAATGCTATGGTTTCTTTCAAATCTTACAAGTTCAAAAATGACAAACTAAAACTGACAGTAATGATTTTTTCCGACTGTCTGTAGTGAAGGTCTTTGATGGTAAACAAAAATTACGTTCACTGTTGTTTACAAATAACAAAAAGCATGAAATAACAGAATCCATTTTCATAATAACTTTTTATAACCAAATCAAAAACACATTCTAATCTTCTGGAAATTCTACATGAAAGGAGTTCGCGTTATTCTTTGACATCTACATTCAACACTAACTACGGCTGCTTGCGAGAAAGAAACACATCATAAAACATAAATTGAACAGACAGGTCATCTCGGAATAATTCTGAATTTAAAACATCGTGATATAGATTCGATTAGCGTTAAAGCTTTTTGGCAAACCCACCTATAAGTAAAATCGTCGGTGCACGAATCAGCAAATAAAAGTGAGCAGGATGATGTCAATCTAGTTGAATAGAAAAACGCTGCCTTCACTTTATCTAACTGTTAAATAGTTTTAACCTGCTTGCGTGATAGACAAGCGACAAACTAAATAATTGAGAAAATAATATGATGTCCTTATAATCATAAACAATAATCTCTAATTAGATACTTTGACTGCTGATTTGTTAAATTCTATACCTACTTTTACCTTTTTTTTATTTATAAACTATATTCCTTCAGAAGGTAGATGAACTCTCAAATATTTTTATCTTCAAATTGTAATGATATCCTGGAAAAGACTATTGAATGCTTTCCCGTAGCCTTCTCAGTTGTTTTCAAATTCGGATTAGTCCTTTTAGTCTCCTTACCATTCAAATGCAAACAAAGAAGTTATGAACTCGTTACTCAGACGGAACAGAATAAAGAGCATTTCTGAGAAAGAGGACTCAAAAGGCGAGAAAAGAATACACTTTTTGCACTAAAAATTGTCATGCCAATCACATATCACCATTTAGCTATAAGTTGTAGTTATACAGGTTTAAATATTTTCAACACAGTTGCTGGGAACCAGTTAGGATCGAACTCACAGCGATGAACTCAACTGGTAACTAATTAATTCAGAACAAAATGTCCCAGTCCAGAGTGGAACACATTTTGTAAACACTTACGTTATAGCAAATATAGGTGAGAAGACAGCAGAGAAAAGTAAATGTACAAAAAAAAAAAATAATAATAATATTAATCTATTGGGGACATAATATGTTTAGGGCTTTAAAATCGGGCATTTTTAACAAATGGATTCGTAAATATATTCAAAAATATTTCAGTTTGATTTTAGGTTTAAATTTAAGTTTAAATTTAAGTTTAAGTAATACAATATAAAAAAAATATATGAAACAAAGGGAAAAGAGCAAAGATAAAAGTATCCACTGTAAATTGATGCTAGGAAAAATATAAGAAATATAACAGAATTATTTATCTTCTTTTGTTTTTATGTGTTTTGATCTATCATTTTAGCGTATTTTCTTTCACTTCTTTACTAGATTTCCCCTGTTTTAGAGTATTTTTGTGCATTTATATACACTTTTAAAATATGCTTTTCTAAAAGCCTAATGTTTGTACAGTTTCTACAACAGCTAATAATACTAATACAACTGTTACTAATACTAATGCTACTACTACTACTAATAATAATAATTAATGAAAAAAAAGCAAAATTAATTTGAGAATATATGCTTTTTCTAGAAGCCTAATGCTGATACAGTTTCTACTACAGCTACTACTACTAATACTAATGCTACTACTACTACTACTAATAATAATAATTAGTGCAAGAAAGAAAAATTGTATTTGATAATGTCAATAAGTTCGCAATTATATGATGGGAGAATCTTTTATTTTATAAAAGCAAAATGTATTTTACAAAATAACGTCAGTCTTTCTCAGTGCACACAGTTCAATGAAGAATATTATCAATATTGAAGCCATGTCAAATTTTAGATCAAAATTGAGTTAATAAATGGATACGGTCATATCAGATGCATGTGGAACAATATATATATATATATGTAACCATAAATAACACAAGTAATATTAAAAATATTAATAGACTCATGATAACCAAATTACGTTGAATTGCTTAAAGAGAACTTTTTTCATAATTCTTGAAGCATTATTTTCATACGTAAATGTCATTCTAATAAGCATACATAGATATCATGCAAAATATTAGCAGAAATAGAATTAAATACAAATATTAGTTGGGTTAATAGGAATTGCGATTGACTGGAAAAGTAGAAATAAAATATTATGAGAAATATTCCAAACAGAATTAATTATAATCAAATCAATACTTCACAATATATATATATATATATATATATATATATATATATATATATATATATATATATATATTATAGTAAAAAAGAAAAGAACGGTAAGATGGATAAGGCTCAATGCAAATTTACAGAGCATAAATATTATAAATTAACTGATATAAAATATGGTTCCATCGCTGCAGAAAAATTACCATGTTTCAAAAACAGAAAATAACAACTTCAAATTCAATTTTATAATTAAATTAAAAGCATTAGTTCTGTTTCATTTTGAAGCAAATTTAGTGATTAACTTATTTTGAAATTTACGGAGTTTTAAAAGCACATACATTCATTATTTTTGTTTCCAAGGATACAGAGAAATCCAATCATTTAGACAGGGGCGGTAGCGTGTTCATTTTTATTAATAGAAATGAACACGCTCCCGCCCCTGGATATTTGTTCTATTTATAATAAACAGTATTAATATTAATAATATTAATATTAATAATATTAATATTAATTTAGCTTCCAGAAGGTCCGAGAAATTTCATAGAAAATATGTGTCTTCCGATAGGCAATGAACTTGTATCCTACACGAAACCGTTAAATTACTGATGTTAAATCAAATTTCCCACGATCTTTCTTGCGCGATCACATCTGCTCGTAGCGTATCTTAACATAGACGAATGAAAACAACTATTATGAAAAGGATTAATTCCGACAATTATTTTAATATATTTTCTGTTTATACGTTATTTTTAAAGCTAAAATTATTTACGTGAACGCTCTGCTTATAATAAACAGTATTAATTATAATTACCGACCTGAATGTCCGAGAAATGTTATACAAAGTATGTATCCATCAACAAGAAGAGAAACTATATCCAACATGGAACAGTCAAATTTGACATGACCTTCTATACCATTTAGCTACAGAATAGGCGTCTGGTTAGCACAGTCAAATTAATGTTTTTAAACAAAAATCTCAAATAATTGTATGTATAAAATAATGTATAAAAAGAATATATATTAAAATAATTGTCTGTCTGAGTCCATTTCATAACATATGTTATCATTTGTTTATGTTAATATATGCTCCGAGCAGATAAGATCGTTCCAGAAAGATTGTGGGGAATTTCTCATTCCGAATGTTTTTCTGGTCTGGAAATGTCATTATTGTAAACAATAATAACATTTCGAGAAAATTTATAGACCAGAAAAGCCTTCAGAATGAGAAATTTCAAGAAATAATGACACGAGGCATAGACACAAAAAAGTTATTTTTGAGTTCCTACGAACCAGGATTAAAATATGTATATTTCTCATAACATGGCTCCGATAAAGTTTTAATAACATTATTTTTCTCTTCACCTTCTTTTACACAGCGCGTTGTGCATTTATTTATTTATTTATAAATAATAAAGCGTTAAGAATTTATTCAGCCCGGATCGCCTGAAGATATCGAAAGTTTGAAACCAAGGCTGAACCCCTAACTTTTTTTTTTAAATAGAAAAGCACTGCATTTTTCTTTTCTTTTCTTTATACACCTACTAAGAACTTTTTAATACTACTGTTTGTCTAATTCTTCTCTGACCAATAACTTCTCATACATATATATATATATATATATATATATATATATATATATATATATATATATATATATATATATATATATATATATATGAACTAGTATCTACCTTGTGACAAATATATCTATAGGAATTTTATATTTATGTAGAAATGTGTACTCAACTTTCTGTGGTGCTATTTATCCCGGAAGGCGGAGATCAAAATCATTCGTTCTCCTCAATATATATATATATATATACACTAATATAAACATGCAGACGTTTCACGCTATCTCCTTTACACACACACACACACACACGCTCATATATATATATATATATATATATATATATATATCGAAAACAATACCAAATTACACAGAATATATATATATATATATATATATATATATATATATATATATATATAAACTATGTAACTGTGCACACGCCTGCCTATTCACACATACGCAGCAGCATATATATTCT